GTTATGTGAGCTGTGTGTTTCAATGGGTTCTCCATCAATAGTGCAGGAAGAATCTCGGAAGATGTGGTCGTTCATGTAATTTATAGCCAATAAGAATTGCGTTTGGATTCACGAGACATGTTCTTTACTTTCATGCGTAAAATACAACTCTGGTTACGAAAATGTAAAGATCAATGTTAAGAGCATGTAACACAAACCTTAGAAGTAATTCTCTTTCCTAAGTAGTCTATCGTCAGTAAAGCGAATGATTAGTTAATGATTTGAATCAATGACGATCGAAGCCTTAAAAGTTGATAAATTCATATTTACTAGTGCCAAATGGTATTTAATCAGAAAGAATCAAGATAATATAGTCAATAATAGAGCTGCAGGTTTCCTTAATTAATTAGAAAACAGGAAGAAAATGTAGATTTGTGACAAGAAATTTCATCCCAGGCTGGGTTTTGACATAATTCAGGTCAGGGTCAGGGTATTTTGGATTGATAAATGTGCCGGAGGTGAACATGAAGCGACACCAAATCAAAATATCATCGAAAATGGTAATAAGCATACTTTGAATGCCAATACTATTGGGGAATGTCCTGGAAAGAAATAGATTGGACCGTGAAATTGGAAATCGATGTAAAACGCACCCAGGAGATCAAAACATAAAGTTTAACAAACTTTATAGAATTTGATATATCAGACGAACACAGGGATAATTATAGTCTTCTTATTGCATTTATAAATGAAATAATAACTTACCATGATCATGATATTTATTTTATGATTAGTAATCAATAAACGAAAGTGAAATATATATCATAGAATGATAGACTTGATGCAGTCACAGTGCATTATTGAAAGCCACAAAACCATGACGATGTATTCGAGTAATCTTTGACTATGTTCTTGTATTGGCTTAACACTTGGCAACGAAAAGTGTTTCCAAGCCTGTCAGCCTTCCACAGGACGAAATATATCCTATATGATTCCATTATATCATTCATTTTGTTTGCTTCAATGATTAATAGATTTTCGGTTTTATCTTATTTAAATAATTAAATAAAATCAACCTTGGTCTCCGGGCTTGGTTTCAAGTGGGTAAGATACAAAGAGGGCGTTAAATGTATCAATAATGGACATACACTGCACGAACTTAAGAAGTACATTACCGGGTAATGTAACGTCCTTGATTCAAGACAAGCTTGTATGGAGGTATCGATTACCGTAATTGGTTTATAGTGTATCCGGATTAACACATTAGCATTTTTAATTGATTGGAATTCATTTCTGACATGAAATGTTTATACTCTACATTTTTGTTATTTCACTTCAAAGATAAAAACGTAAAAAATTATTGATACACGCATGTTTATTGTATTGTTTGACAGGAACATGACGCAAAAATTGTATCTCTTTTATTTTTCTGTTTGATAAATAATACGAATCTATTAAAGCCATTTCTAGCTCGTGGAGTTTCCTTTGATTTGATCAACAGGAGAATTATAATTTTAAATCTGAGATATGTTGATATGCAAAAGAGTTGAGCTAGCACTTTCGCCTCCATGTTTAATCACTGCAATGTACTGACGGGACGCATCGGAAAACAATCTTTAAAACCGAGTGGCGATATTCAATATATCAACGAGCATTAGTTTTTACTTGCAAAGTAGTAAGTAGAATTTACCGTTCTATGTTTTGTTTCGGTAGCTTTGGGAATATGAGTTAAACACCTGTTTGGCCATATGAATGGAATACGCTGCCTGCTTTAAACCGCCTGTTAATCTTCATTATTATGTGGTATGTATTTTTATGGCATAAACATTAATAATTCGCAATTTTAGTTTCAGTTCAATAATATTATTTTAACATATACATGCCAAGATAAGATCAGTTGTCAGATACATGATGTTGCATTGCGTTTGTTACAAATTAAAGGGCCATGAGTGTTATGTAGAATTAGCTATTAAATGTATCAAATCAAAATTCCTTGCTCCATACACCAATATAACGATTTGTGTAACAAGGATATTTGCGATTATGTAACAAAACCAGAAACTAATCCAAAAACCGGGAAAGAGCTTGGTAGCTTATGTAGTTACGAAAGTGGTCGAACCGACCTATGTACGCTCTAGAACTTATCATTTCGAGATTTATGATCCTTTTATGATCCTGTTATCATGTTTTTAATAACATATATAGCCGTATTGACTTACTGAATTACCAGATGCTAACATCACAGTTGGAGGATCAATGTATGAGAGCATGAGAAAAATAATCAAATATGCAATTAGCTGGTCCTCTACTTTCAAGAAATGCCACAAGATCAAAAATAAATCATATGTTTTGTCTTTTGATAATTCTATAACTCACTCACTTCATAGATTTCGGAACTTCGTCACGACGATTACCAGGTAAGGTAATATTTTCAGAAAGGCATATATTGTGTTCCGACCTGTATACCTCCTTGTCACGCGGTACTAACTTCGACCGTTAATTTGAATTTTTGACCTAACGGATGTTCCATTCAAAGCATAACAAAAATCCCTTTCTGTTGGTACATTATTCTCTTAAACAGAGTCCCTACTTCCAGCGGCATTTCCAGCGGCATCACAGCTGGGGACCACAACGCTGCTAGAACGAAGGACTCTTTACAATAAAGTAATGCACTGACAGAAAGGCAATTTTGTTTTGCTTTTAATGGTATAAGTTTGAAGAAAAACAGTGCAGTATGAGACTCACAATCCTTGATTTTCAATCATCCGGTAGGTCAAAAATTCAAATTAACGGTCGAAGTTAGTATCGCGTGTTGTAAGGCGAAGATAGAAAGAAGGTACAGCGCTTGTGTCGTCGTAAATCGGTAATGTAAAGTTGCTATGATTTTATATTCCCAGAGTGGGGCGCACTTTGATCAATAATTTAAGAAAAGGCATAAAAAGTTCAAATCTTATTGAATGTTCGTCATTGCACTGTTTTCGAAATGAATTAGGAAAGATGTCACACTGTGCTTCCGTCTTGGCATTTAATCCTAAAAGATAAGTATAACACCTCATCAAACCAATTTAATCAAAATGACAATTAATCTCAGAATGTAATAGAACGATGTCAGTGAGAGTAGGCTTAGCAAGGAAAATAATATTTGATGTCTTTGGACAATTATTTCTAAAGACTCTGAAAAACTACAAAATTGGATTTTTATAAGAAGAATAAATGGGCCATGACTATATGAGTAATACTACTGACTGAAGATAATTGAACAAGAATTGACTTGACATCTTTAATTCATTTTACGCACTTATTGAGTGTTGAGTAAGTTCGAAGGATGACAGGTTTAGAACTTGATGCATTATAGCTTTGTGGAATAATGAGCAGAAATTTCATTCTATGGAGGGCAATACCTGTTCATCTTTCAATCATGTTAACAGTATGTATTGCCCGCAGCCCGTAGGTCGAGGGAAATACATGCTGCAAAAATCATTGAAAGTTCAACAGGTATTGCCCGAACATAGAATGAAATATTTGTTTTATTATATCATTGCTAGACATTCTAGACATTCTCTACGATCACTATACATTTCAAAGAAATATAGGATATTTGTTTCAACCCGTGAACATTTATTTTAATCAATAAATATAATCATTAACGGGTACATAATTACATGTATGTAAGTACAGGTATCATTGTATCGGTATCATTGTATAGTACACTTTTGTTTTCGTCCAGTGCAGTGCTAGAAACTGTGTGATTTGATTGGCTGATTCAGTAACCAGGTGATCAAAAATACCATGTAGCGTATTTCACAGCTTCCTCAATTTTTGAAAAGACGTAATTCCCGGCCCGGTGTATTTTCCGCCCGGGAATTGTATGTAATTATGTTATCTTATGCATTGCCCTCGCCGTACTGGCTGCGGGCGATACATACTGCAAAAATTATTTAAAAATAAAGAGGTATTGCCCTCCATAGAATTATATATTTGCTTGATACCCTTGAACCTATAAAGGTCAAATGCATGTATTTTTCAAACATTTTGATTTACTTGGCGAAATCATTGTTAAGTGATGATGGATATTCCTATTTACACCAGAAGTTGATTTGTTCATGTCAGGGTCATCGTAGCATGTTTTCCAAATAACAACCACCGTGAACATAATGTCTGGATTTCCTCCACCAACTAAATGGCATAGTACTCTGGTGATCATAAAAATTGTAAAAGGCATTAAATAAAACAGCCCTCGATATCTGGTATGATCTGTCGAATCCATAGATGTCTGTCTGATTAAATCCATGGCAATATGTCCATTTTGCAGGCAATGATGATGACATATAGCCCGATTAATCATATAAATAGTTGAAGCTTGATTTTTCTCTGTCTGGGTAAACTTGTTTTTGTTAGATTTGACCTGAGATTTCGGTCAAAGAACTTCAAACATTATTAGGGATGAAATAAATCGCATTCTAAACCCATGTATCACAACCAAGAATCAATCTTGTTTCGGGCTAAACATCGAGCTTTATGAAGCACAAATGCTAAAATTAGGACAAGAATTTGTTTCTGTTTGCCATTGACGTGAATGCTTTTTAAGGTTACGTGGATCCCGGGACGTGGATTTACTTTGTTTTTCAACTTACAGCATCTGTAAGATTTGCTGTACATTCATCCTTTCAGGAATATATATTTGTTGCATGGGTATTGCCATTTGCTAATTATCCCATGGATCAGAACGACACGCAGGCGAGCTGTGTCATTTCGTCTCCAGCCAAGTACCTTGATTCAATTCTATTAAATGTCAAACTCATCATGCAATCCAACCACATTTGTTTCGTTGTAGTTTTGGATCGATTTTCAAACTCATTTGTTTATCTAAGATCCATATTTTGAATTTCATATTCTGAGTTATGCTGACGCAAGAGAAAAAACAGATTACGAATCACTCAAGGTTTCTGTCAAATTCCTAGAAATTTTCTTGAAAATTGATTGGTCCCTTCATCAGATAATTCCATTTCTTGTGTTTGCAGGACAACAACCATGATAACCATGGAATCATCACCATGAAGATCTTCAAGGTTAACGTTAAATAGACTGGTCCCGAGCTTCCACCAGAGAGTAAGCCTTCCAACCGAATATGGACAACACTTCTTATACACTAATTGCTCCATCAACCGCTGTGACGACGGAGTTGGCCAACAATACACCAGAAATAATACCAGGGCCCGATGAAAGATATCCACATCACCAGTTTTTGGGGATATTTTTGCCATATGCCCTCCTGATTGATCGATTAGTCACACCAATATGGTATATAATTGGAGCAATTGGAAATACACTCTCGGCAAAAGTATGGCTAGAAAAACGAATAAGAAGTAGCAACTCGTCAGCTATATATTTAGCAACATTGGCAATATCTGATCTACTGTTTCTCATGTTGCATATCCTAGTGGATCTTAAATATGCTTGGGGGTTTCATCCTCTTAAATACCCCGTGTTATGTGAAGTATTCTTCGTTTTGTATCTTGTCCCCCAGTACCTCTCACCGCTATTGGTGCTGGGCTTCACAATTGAACGCTACATAGCTGTATGTCATCCTTTCAAGAAGGAACGCTACTGTACACCCCAGACGGCTCAAAAGGCTATCATCTGCCTTGTTGTTTCCAGTGTTCTCCTCTGCGTTGTTCAAGCCTGGTTCTGGACTTACTCGGACGGGGCGTGTGTAATCAGAGCTAAAGCTATTGAGGGACAGAACGCCAGTATTTGGTCTGTCTGGACGTGGAGCACCGAAATCATAATATTCATGCTAGTACCTCTCACAATACTTCTATTTAATATTTTAGTCATACAAGAGATAAAACGCTTGAGGAGGATGGATTTGATATATCATCAAGAGCACCACAAGGCTTGGGCTGCCACAACTGTGATGCTCCTCTCTGTATCATTTTATGTGATCTTCACTACTCTCCCAGCCACTTTGGTTTACTCAATGACGTACGTATTACCAGAAAGGACAACAAATCTGACGGATGCCCAAATAAGGACAGACTCCTCGTGGCAAGGTTATTTCAGTTATCTCATGATACGAAAGATCGTAGAAGAGATTTGTCTGTCACATTACGCCTGTAACATATTCATCTATCTCGTCACAGGAATACAGTTCAGGACGGCTTTAGCCAACAACATAAGATGTGTTATGAATTCGCTTAAAGGGATAAAACATGTTAACAACTACAATCAAGTCCCAGGCAGAAATGACAATGTTAAAAAACAGAAAACCATGACATCCATAGATATAGCGAGCACACAGCCACATAATGAATTCGAAGTAACCAAAGTGTAGCCGAATCGTCATAAATCGCCAGAAATATATACAATCATTAATTACAAACTCTTTGGATTATCTTCCATGATGTATTTTTTTAATTTTCTAATTTGTATTGTTGATGGTTTTGAGGCATAAGAGGATTATTCCAGTATTCTCCAAATATATTCCAATATATAGGATCGTTTGCGAAAGTGATCCTCTGTTGTAGTGGTTTTAAGCAATTAAGAGAAGTGATCCTCTGTTGTAGTGGTTTTGCAAAAACGCAATTCAGAGAAGTGATCCTCTGTTGTAGTGGTTTTGCAAAAACGCAATTCAGAGAAATGATCCTCTGTTGTAGTGGTTTTGCAAAAACGCAATTCAGAGAAGTGATCTTCTGTTGTAGTGGTTTTGCAAAAAGGCAATTCAGAGAGATAATCCTCTGTTGTAGTGGTTTTGCAAAAACGCAATTCAGAGAAGTGATCCTCTGTTGTACTGGTTTTGAAAAAAAGCAATTCAGAGAAGTGATCCTCTGTTGTAGTGGTTTTGCAAAAATGAAAATAGAGAAGTGATCCTCTGTTGTAGTGGTTTTGCAAAAACGCAATCTGTTGTAGTGGTTTTAAGCAATTCAGAGAAGTGATCTTCTGTTGTAGTGGTTTGCAAAAATGCAATTCAGAGAAGTGCTTGGTGATAATCCAACAAAGACAATATTTGGGATCTAGTATTTGCTAGCATTTGAATTTGAGGTAATCGTAGAGTTTATTGACGATTGATTTATGGGATTGAGTTCAAGGTTTTGAGGAATCAGTCATGTGCAATACATAAACTATAATAACTATACTGGAAAAAATATGAATCTCTTCAAGAAGATCTTGTTGCTGACATATCACTGTGCAGTCAAGCTGGTCGATCGAACTCTAGATTTCTTATTAATCCTGAACTGCCTGACGTTGTATAGTTTCAGGGAATTTATATAATTAGTGTGAATATCATTGGGGAGTAATTTCTATAAAACATGATTTTTATCCTGTTGTTATTTTAACACCAAGTATTATTACGAATCGATTTAAACAGTATTATATGTAATGTTGATGTTTAATAAAGTGCTGAATATAGTAAATCGTTGTTGTGATTAAGCAATGGATGAACATGATAATAAAAGAATGTTTGAGACAAAGTTATCGATGCGCCATTACTTTCTGACAAATCAAAACGCATTGTAGCCATACCTTTGAAAACTGGTGCATGACTTTTATTCTGGCTAGGTGTCAGAATCTACTATCCATGTCAGTAATTTGAGCAGCGAGATGGACTCATGGTTACTCATAAGATATGTTATTTTACTAAATTCTTCATGTCCATTCCCAAGTGAGTAATGATACAGTCGTCACGTGCTCTTGTGTTGTCTTGCGCTTATGGAGGACATTTATGAGTAAGTGGGAAAACCTGAGAGCAATTACAATTCAGAAATTGCTACATAGAAAGATAGATGACAGTAGTGTTTTGATGGAGTTAGATTTTCAGGAATTGAATAAAAAAGAAATCTGCGTAATATTCTGGCAGAAAGTTCAAAGCTAATCGTTTTCTTCGGATTACAATGTTTTTTTAACTTTTCAGCATGAATATAGGGTTGGGACCTCAAAACCATGGAATGCCGGAGCGGCACCCTTGGGCAACTCTCTACAAACCATTTCTTATACCCCCCTAAGAAAATCTACTGGGGGTACTATAAGACACCTTTAAATATCAGACACTAATAAAGATATAGACTTGACATTTTCAGGAATTAGTTTAAGTATGATGCTTAATCTGTATAGTGAAAATCAAGAAAAAATCTTAATCCGTTGCTATAGCAACAGTAATAGATCACTATTAGTTACCTTAGAAATGTATTATTTTGTGGGTTTTCAGCATTTTCTTCATATTCCTGATTCTTAAACTAATTTAAACTATCTGAAGCACATAGCATGATTAAAGGTGAAGATAAAATAATTCATCATATCATTTATGTAATATGTCTAACAATTCAGTTGCTATGGCAACACCACTTGATAATCAGGTTCTTACATTTCATTTTCTTTAATAAGTATAAAGGTGGTCCAAAATAACACTTTTTCTAAAGGTATGTTCTCTAGCTAAAGAATCTCTTTTAGAAGTAAATAGTCACTTGAATTTGTTAAAAATGTATATCTTTCAGTTGTAGAACCCCTCCCCACAGCCCTAACAATGTGATGATTGGTGAAAACTGGCAAAAAAACTTCATTTTCTAGGTTCAAATTAAGAATGCATTGGGATGCAACACTTATTAGTATTCAAGGAACATCTACTGACTTTGTCTGATATAACAATATGAAGATTTTAATTATTAGATGATGGGAAGTATTTTATTTGAAACATTTTAGAATCCTATCCCATAAAAATGTTGAAAAGAGGGTGTGGTCAATTTTACCATTTTCCAGCATTTAAAGTTAGAAATAAATACAAACCAAGGCTTTGAAACATCTTCAAATGTTAAGTATATAGGACACTATATTTTATATGCTAATCTTGTATTTAGTACAAGTCTGAAATCCAATGCAATCATACAGTGGAGACTAGCAAGGTTTGCATACAATCCAGACATTGGAATCCTTTACATCCCATTCAGCAGAATCATTTACAATTTAGAGCCAGTGTTTTGAAAACTAGCTAAAATGTTTATTATTGAAAACTAGCTAAAATGTTTATTATTGAAAACAACTAAAGATGGCTTTCCATTGGTCAACCAAGCATCAATATGCATTAAGTCTGACCAGGTTTGCCATTGCTCACAGCTGCAAGTGTAACGTATGAACAGTTGCCGCCAACATTTGGTTCTCAACATTCGTGGTTAGATTGTCAACTTGCCACTTACTCCAGAAACCACTTACTCAACATACAATATACCAAAGATGCCACTTCACACGAGCACACTCACTCACCCAAAGATGCCACCTTACATGAGCACACTCACTCACCCAAAGATGCCACCTTACATGAGCACACTCACTCACCCAAAGATGCCACCTCACACGAGCACACTCACTCACCCAAAGATGCCACCTTACACGAGCACACTCACTCACCCAAAGATGCCACCTTATACAAACACACTCACTCACCCAAAGATGCCACCTCATACAAGCACACTCACTCACCCAAAGATGCCACCTTACACGAGCACACTCACTCATCCAAAGATGCCACCTTACATGAGCACACTCACTCATTCAAAGATGCCACCTTACATGAGCACACTCACTCACCCAAAGATGCCACCTTACATGAGCACACTCATTCACCCAAAGATGCCACCTTACATGAGCACACTCACTCACCCAAAGATGCCACCTTACATGAGCACACTCATTCACCCAAAGATGCCACCTTACATGAGCACACTCACTCATCCAAAGATGTCACCTTACATGAGCACACTCATTCACCCAAAGATGCCACCTTACATGAGCACACTCACTCATCCAAAGATGTCACCTTACACGAGCACACTCACTCACCCAAAGATGCCACCTTATACGAGCACACTCACTCACCCAAAGATGCCACCTTACATGAACACACTCACTCATTCAAATATGCCACCTTACACGAGCACACTCACTCACACTAGCTAGCTACTTTCCAACACCTGGCTCTGATGCTTCATGGTTTTATAAGGATTCTACATATATAGCCGGTATATAGTCACATGATGAGAACTAAGAGCTTTTTGCTTGTGAATGACCCAGCTGAACAGCCTGGCTGTCCTGCCTGTAAGGAGTCTTGAATATTTGAAGACATCATCTTTAGTGATTGACATTAATCTTTTTAGCTAGTTTTCAAACACCTGGCTCTGACGCCTCATAACTTAATAACAAGGACTCTACTATTTGTTCAGATGATGAGAACTACCTGTAAGTGTTTTATATAACAGAAACTTTTGCCATGATTTGCACATTGATGGCCAAAATGACTGACCCAACACATCAGGATAAAATTGTGCATGATGACCACCAACACCTGACTAATGAGATGATATGCTTTTGTGTTGACTTTATACCAATGTCCAGATTATGCCAACCTCTCTATTATATGGTTACACTTCATTAGATGTCATTATGATACATCTACTAAATATTAAACTTACATATAGAATTGTACTTGTGCAAGGTAACAACCATAGTCTGATTGCTCGGATGAGGAAAATTAATGCTTATAATATTTATACATTATGCCAATGTCTAGACTATGCCAACCTCTATTGTAAGATTACATTAGATTTCATTATGATATATGTACTATATCTATATAAAATATACATACAGAGTTGTACTCATTCATGATAACCATCAAAGTCTGATTGCTCAGATGAGAAAAACTAATGGTTGTAATAATTAGACATTATGCCAATGTCTAGACTATGCCAACCTCTCTACTGTATGATAACATTAAATGTCATTATGATACATATACTAGATATAAAACTTACATATTATATAGAACTGTACTCATTCATGATAACCATCATAGTCTCATTGCTCAGATGAGAAAAACTAATGGTTGTAATAATTACACATTATGCCAATGTCTAGACTATGCCAACCTCTCTACAGTATGATAACATTAGACTTCATTATGATACATGTACTAGATATAAAACTTAAATATAAAAAAGTGCAGTCTCCTATATACTAGATTATGGTAATGAATGAATTACAATGAATGTGTTTTAAATGCATTGATCTTTTGTCTAATGATTGCTGCTAAATGATAAAATTGACCACAACCATATTTTAACATTTTATGGGCTAGTGTTCTAAATTATAAAATACTTTCGAGTGTCAAATAATTAAAATCTTCATATTGTAATATCAAGCAAAGTCAGTAGATGGTTTTTGGATACTATTTGATGTTGAATCCCAATGCATTACTAATTTGAACCTAGGAATTGAATGTTTTTTGCCTGTTTTCCCCAAATTGTCAAACTTTGGGGCTTTGGTAAGGGAGAAAGATAAAGTTGTAGAATTTTATTTGACTATTTACTTCAGAAGAAACATGGTTTCATATTTAAGGTACATAATATTCCAAAAGTGTTATTTTGGACCACCTTTATACTCATTAAAGAAAGTTAAATGTAAGAACCTGATTATCAAGTGATGTTGCCATAGCAACTGAAATGTTAGACATATTACACAAATGATATGATGAATTGTTTTATCTTCACTTTTAATCATATTATGTGCTTCAGATAGTTTAAGAATCAAGAATATGAAGACAATTATGAAACCACACAAAATAATGCATTTTTAAGGTAAGCAATAGTGTTCTTTTACTGTTGCTATAGCAACAGATACATATTTTTTCTTAATTTTTGTCATACGGATCAAACATCATACCAAGAATACTTCCTGAAAATTTCAAGTCAATATCATTATTAGTGCCTGAGATATAAAGGCATCTTATAGTACCCCCTGTAGATTTTATTAGGGGGGTATGAAAAATGCTCTGTAGAGAATTGCCCAAGGGTGCCGCTCCGGCATTCCGTGGTTTTGAGGTCCCAACCCTATATTCATGCTGAAAAGTTTAAAAAACATTGTAATCCGAAGAAAACGATTGATCCTCAAAATACCCCATATTTCTTCCGGACTATAAGGGATGAGTCAGGATATTAGTGCCCTTTTGGTCATTAAAATGTTTGTGAAATTTGCTTTTTATTGCTGTCTTAGTAATATCTTATGCACTTTTTCCTGAGTTTTGATGCATAATGAACCCCCGGCTGAGAGTTAAAGAAAGTATCCCAACAAAAAACAGATAGTCATTATCATAGAAAAAACACCTATTGCAACATATTTGATATACAAAGTAGAACTAACCATGAAGAATTGAAAAGAAAATGTTTTTGAGATATGTTAAGGTTTTTAATTTTTTTCTAACTCTTGAATTTCCGCCCGTCCGTCCCTCAGTCTATTCTAAAAATGGCCAACATTTTTATTGCCATAATTGTTTTGAGTTCTCTTAATTCATAAATCCAAAAGTATTACATCAATTTGATGGAGTACAATATTCTATTGTTAAAGCAATATAGAACGAATATAAGCCAATTTTGTCAAAATATAAGATCTATCATTGTCAACATCACTATCTTACCTTGATACTAGGATTAATATAAATGAAGGATATCGGAGATTTCTTATTTTGAAGCCAATTATATAAGTTCAGATAATTTATCATCCGCAATTTAAGATTGTGAACTGACCTGAATGATATCATCAAAAAATGTGTACAACCCCTACATTAATTTACATTTAGAGGTCAAAGCCTCATTCTGAATATAGATCACATGACTTATAAATGGAGAATCAATATTAAGTTAGTGAAGGTCTAACACAATGAAGATTATCAAATCCTTGTAAGTGTACACCATATTGACTGGAGAGCTAATTTGGTCACCCTATCATGTTATATATCATTTTGTTCCTTTAAAGAACAAATTTAGTTTCCGTATTGCACATTTCCAGCTATTGTCACCATGGCAGAGCTCATTCCACATGTCTGTGACAGTCATACACAGAGATACGAAGACAGGATTCATGCAGTAGCTTATAGGAAGGCCAGGGTCCATGTATAATAATAATTATCACTAAAAATGGGAAGCAAATCTATACAAAGTGAACAAATCACTGGACTGACTTAAATATCCTTACAAAACTGTTTATAAATGACCCCCTACACACATATTTTGGTGGATCATATCTTTTTCAGGGATACCCCTGAATTCTGAAACTTTCCAATCCTTTGTAACCTTTCATAAGAAACAAAATGATATATAACATGATAGGGTGGCAATGCTACATGTATGGGTTTAAAGGGGGTACATACATATGAAACACCCTGTATATAGAAGATAAGCAAGAATATGTTCTCAAACGGCCACTTGGTGTCAGTAGTGTATAATGGGAGCTTAAGAGTACGTGATGTACATTACAAGGTATACAAAAAATATCAATTATAATTTAGCACATGTGCACCTATTTGTATTCTTTGTATTAATAATGTACAATAAATAAACAATAAAAAAAACATCAATTATTGTCTATTAGCAAAAACTCGATATTGAGATTGTAAAAGGGAAATTAACACAATTTAAGCACACCTCGAAAATGAGTATTTAATCTTTAAACTAACTGAACAAAATAATATTACCGTATGAATCATACATTTTTAGTACAAAAATATACATAGAATTCAAATATTTCATCGGGTTACAGTAATATAGACGTGAAAGTCCTTGGTAGTTAAACATGCAAGTCTCATAAAATCTCATAAAAACGACATATCAATGAAAAGATTTTCATATAGATACATGCGTTCATTGTATTGGGCTTATTTATTTGATATTCTCTGAAGACATAGCTTGAAATATCCACATTAAAAACATCCATAAATCACCTGATACTGGATATGCGAGAGTAAACTAGAATGTTTTGGATAAATGGTTTATCTTGAGGAATATACCTCTTCTAGAATATGTAGCTATCTCCCGATTGCTAAATAGTGCCAATAACATCCTTCGTTCAAAGGACTTCATTGGTTACTAATGCATGGGAAGAAGTGAAATACTCTTGGACCAAGGATGGTCAAAAACTCCTCAACACAATTCGATTTTCGAGTTTTTTTTAATTTGCGTACTACATTAACAACGGAGCGTTTCATTACCTTAATCCAAATTGAAACGCTCCGGATTAGGTAATGGCATCTCATTCAAAACCCAAGAATGACTATGCGACGTAAATGGGTTGTTTTTAAAACCAAAGCTCTCTCATCAAATCGCTTTCTTTATTTCTTACAGATGTGTAGTCATTGAAATGTTAATGCTGATTTAACAGTACTCTTTGGTAGGCACATCTTCACTGGTATATTTCTATATAACCTTACACATTAAATACAATCAATTTCACATACAACAAAAATTATACAGAATACACAGGGTATTCACTAGATACTATATACACACCTATGTTAGGTTTGTAATCCTCAATATGCGATTCTGAATTAATCTTGAATGAAGAATTAAGGATGTGATGAGTGGAACGCCCAGAGACAATAACAAGGCACAGGGTAACCCCCCTATCACACCAAACTCGTTCTTACCCGTTCTTGCCAGTCCTACGAAAACGTCATAAAACGGGCTCAATCTGGCTGTGGTCGGGAAAAATGTCTGAAATAATTAGCTTCTTCGTTCTTAAACAGTCTTCAATACGTCCTTCTCGTTCGCAGTTCGTTCAGGTCGCACCACGTCGGTGTGCAACGTAGTGGAACGCGTTCCTTAGTCTAGAAGGTCAACATGACCTTATTACAGAACGTTATGGTCGCCATCGAATTTTGAATCGATTCAAAATTCTAAAATCACATTCCCGTCTGAGAACGATCATAAAGTTCGTAAATAGACCTTAGAAAGTTGCAGCTACGTCCATTCCGTTCGCACACAGTTTTGAAGAACGCAGTGGCAACTTGTTTGGTGTGATAGCTATATTTTTGCTAACTCGTTCATAAGCAGTGTTAAATACGTTCTCAATCAGTTTAAACCCGTTTGCAATTAGTTCTACCTCGTTCTCAACACGTCCTCAGACAATTCAACTCGTTGTTAAAACGTCCCTAGTAGGATTGAAGTACGACGGTTCCGTTCGTAGTACGTCCAGCTCGTCGTTAGTACGTTGTCACTCGTTCTAATTGTAGAACGTGACGACCACGAGAACATTTTGAGCATTGTCTAAGTTCTAGAGGACCTACCCGTTCGAGTACGTTCGATGAAGTTTGTTAATAGATCCCAAACGGTTCTTAGTAGGTCCAGTCCGTTCGTACACAGTTGAAGCCCGTTTTTGAGAACGTAGTGAGAACTAGTTTGGTGTGATAGTAGGGTTAGTGGTTTTCCTGGAATTGCGATGACAAGATTTATCCAAAAGCTTACAAGATTGTGACCAGAATGCAAGATGGCCTCCGAAAAGTTAATCAGCTCTAGAACTTCTTACCAAGTGACATGTGTGAATTTTTTTTTTTTTTATAATGTGAAATTTGAAGTAAATCCGTTATGTGGTTTTCTGGAATCGCGATGACAAGATTTATCCAAAAACTTCCAAGATGGCCGCCAAAATGCAAGATTGCCACAGAAAAATTGATAGGGTCTAGAACTTCTCACCATGTAACAAGTGTGAAAATTTGAAGTAAATCCGTTAGGTAGTTTAGACGCCATCCACCCGCCGCACGCTCGTCAAGCTGACGACAATATCGTACCTTTTTAGGTTCGATAAAAACTTATAAATTACCATGAGTTATATATTGACTGATGGTGCTATTTTGACACTTAAACATGACCTTGGCCTATCGTGACTTCAATTGACCTTTGGGAGCCCTTAATTGCACAAGATGATGTTGACACTTTGACCTTTAGATAGCCACAAACTTTGAAGATGACCTTCATAAGTGTTGACCTTGTCAATTAGTATGTGATTCTTATATAAACCTGCTACTCTTCAACTGACTTTCAACAAGAGTTTCGGCTGACACTCTCAGGTAACGGTGATATCAACCTTTTTATACCATCGTAATTTTATCACATGCTTCTTTATTCAACTTTGATTTTGAATATCAAAATTAGTATAGATTTCTATTTATTTAAATAGGTGACGCTTTATTACCAATATATTCATTGGCGAATGGGGGTCAACCCATACCCTTGATGTTTACTCCCATAAATCGTCCTCTAAACGTGACCTTTAGCTGAGGTGACTTTACAGCGGGAGCCTTTGCGAAAGCTTTGATTGCTGTGGCAAGTTAGTTTACACTAATAAAGAGCATTGATCTGTGAGCCAAACGAACAAAAAGACGGAAAGACAGACGATCAAACGCTTTATATAAAATTCATATAACTTTTGTTAGTTCATTTAATTTACGGCCATGCATGTAGTCATTATTTCCGTAGATGTCATCGTTTGTTTCTTATCATTGTCTCCCTTGTCTGGGACTTGCTGATAGTTCTTCACCCGCTTCATTCCTTTCAACGTATTCAAAACATATCTTATATTGTTGACTAAAGCCTTCCTGAATTGTACTCCTGTAACGAGATAGATGAATATGTTACAGGCGTAATGTGACAGACAAATCTCTTCTACAATCTTTCGAATCATGAGATAACTGAAATAACCTTGCCACGAGGAGTCTGTCCTTATTTGGGCATCTGTCAGATTTTTTGTCCTTTCTGGTAATACGTAGGTCATTGAGTAAACCAAAGTGGCTGGGAGAGTAGTGAAGATCACATAGAATGAGACAGAGAGGAGCATCACAGTTGTGGCAGCCCAATGTTTATGGTTATCTTGGTGATAAATTAAATCCATATTTTTCAAACGTTTTATCTCCTTTATGACTAAAATATTGAATAAAAGAATTGTCAGAGGTACTAGCATGAATATAATAATTTCAGTGCTCCATGTCCAGATAGACCAAATACTACTATTATGGCCGACAACAGCCTCGGGCCTGACGACACACGCTCCGTCAGAGTACGTCCAGAACCAGGCTTGAACAACGCAGAGGAGAACGCTGAAAACAACCAGGCAGACAATAGCCTTTAGGGCAGTCCGAGGTGTACAGTATCGTTCCTTTTTGAAAGGATGACATACAGCTATGTAGCGTTCAATTGTGAAGCCCAACACCAATAACGGTGAGAGGTACTGAGGAACAAGATACAAAACGAAGAATACTTCACATAACACGGGGTATTTAAGAGGATGAAACCCCCACGCATATTTCAGATCCACTAGGATATGCAACATGAGAAACAGTAAATCAGATATTGCCAATGTTGCTAAATAGATGGCTGAAGAGTTGTTGCTCCTTATTCGTTTTTCTAGCCATACTTTTGCCGAGAGCGTATTCCCAATAGCTCCTATTACATAAAATATTGGCGTGGCAACTCGGTCAATTAATAATGCAGATGGTATAAATATTTCCAAAAGCTCGTGATGTGGATATCTTTGATCAGGACTTGGTATTGTTTCTGGAGAACTGGAAATGTTGGTCCAAGCGGTTGTCATATTAATCGAGAGGGCATCCAGTGTATAAGAAGTGTTGACCATTTTTCAGTTGCTGGCTCAATCGGTCAGATACGCATTTCCAGACGGATGTTCCTCTCCATGGTTGTCTGACTAGACTAACGAAGTCCTGGAAATACAATTAAATAAAGGAATTAACAGGCTTTTAGAATTCAATTTCCTTGAAGTGGGTGTCGTGTTTGTCTATTGTTAAGAATCAGTGTTTTGGACTATAACGTATTTCGAAGGAAGGTTGGCCCATATTGACCCTCTCGTGGATGTTGTGTCCACATCATTCGAGTCTCTTTCAACATGATTACTTTAGTATGAATCGCATGAAATGTCCTATGGTCTTATAGTGTTGGATCGTGATATTGGTTTCTGAATATTGTTGGGATCAAAGGGCTGATAGACATTGGTTCTTTGTCCCAAAAATCATCATAGGAATGCTGGGGTTTGTTTGTTTGTTCATTTTGTCGTATGACTCGCATGATCTGCCAATGGTTACATGTTGATAATTATGGGAAAAGTTATGCCAGTCGTTTATTTTTTGTCTCGTAGAACTGTTTTAAATAGTACTTTTTCCAGTCTCCTGTATTTAGAATACCTCAAGTTGTTTTGTTTATTTCAATATAAAAACGGAATTACTGAATAAAGATCCTCTAATTTGTTCGTTATATCATTTGTTTCGCCTTGTGGTGTGTTGCTTTGGCCAAGTGATATTCTACGCCGAGTCGTTATCAACTGAGCACCCCGACCTTCTTCAAAGGACTTAATTTATGCTTAAATTCAGAAAGAAGTGAAACACCCTTGGACCAAGGATGACGATTGAGCACGGTTCTATGATGTTACTGCTATGTTATTGCTATTTTAGCTTGAAATGATTGATTTTTGGCTATTATAATTTGGTTCGAAATTTTATTTTAACTACTTTAATAATATTTAAAGTTCCTTGACCGATACAACTTTACAGTAATATGATCATACTCAGACTGATACAAACAGTCATACTTTAAACTACGATAATACCATACATGATAAATATCATAATTTCATTTTTTGATTTTTTTTCATTTTTCCGAATTTTTTCATTTTCCGAATATTTTCATTTTTAAAAATTTTTTCTTTAGAATAATTTCAATTTTTCAAATTCTTTTAAATATTATGTTTTTCTTTTTCCTAAATTTTCAATGTACATTAGGGAGTTGAATATTTTTTCTCTCATTCAACAGAGGACTTTAAGTAGATATTGCCCCTGGCCATGGTAAGGTCGTTATTCACCAGTAAGGATGAAGAATGTGAGGAGTGTCCCTAGGATGATATCAATATTAATATAATCCTTGTGATATTCACCACATCAAATTCCTCCTAGTGAATAACTTCTTTATATTTCACAACATTGGACAAATTACAATGTGAACTTGATCAAACATATGACAACCGTGGCCTGGATACATCAAATAAGATAGAAATGAGAGTGTTATATAAAGAAGTAATTCACCAGGAGGGATTTGGTATGGAGAATATCACGAGGATGATATCAATATATCCCGAGGGAATATCCCGTTTGCGATAACCTACGTGCTCCTTTTTGGTATAAAAGTTCTAAAATCCTTCTCAGTACATACGATGGCATATTTTGAACATTTTATCTTTTCTATTTAATACCAACTTAACCTATGCATATTTAAAACTAAAACTGTACTATTATAATGTCAAAATGTTCATTTCAGAAGTTATAATTTATGTAGCGTTTTAGCTCTTGATTTGCATGTAACGTGCATTTATGCATATTCACAAGTCAATAAACGCAAAACCTAATAACAAGTTATCACGCTTGCTAACCATGTAACATCACTTACCTATTTCTCCAATGTTGCACGATTCAAAAAAGGTGATTCTTTTTGAAAACCGTCAGGAAGGTCGAGATGTTTGATTCGGTCATATGTGTGCAACCAAGCAGATGTTTAGTGTTGCTACACATAGCTTCTTACTGCAATATCCCTAGTTATCTCAACAATAAGTGCATCAAATGAATAGAAGATGCAGGGTCATAAATTATTCACCTACCTTCAGTCAGTTCTAATGTTCTAATTAATCGTCTAATTTTTCCTCTAATAAAAATCCAATTTTCTAGCTTGCATGCGCTAATTTGTACGAGGGTCGTAACTGTTGTCGAGATTACGTCGAAAGATTTATTCCCCTTCCTACTAAGCTTATCCTGTCTGTCAAAGGTGTAAAGTATAAACTGATCATATAATCCGAGAAGATGAATTGCTCTTTTTTATATTAACGTGTATAACATGAGAGTTATGGTTATGAAGAAAAGGGAAGCAAAATATCATATCTTACCTATTTCAAAAATGCAGCGACGAAGTGTCAATATTAATATCAAACACTTTTTCAATACGTTTTCCGTTGATTTAATATGATTCCTTTATATAAGTAACTTTTTTATTTATTCGATGTTTAGTTTGTCAAGCATTTTATCATACTACTTAATTGTTTTCTCTTCACGCTTGTTAGTTTCCCTCCTGCTAATATGTCAGCAATTGTTCCAAATAAGTAATTCAGTCCGTCAACAAGTTTAATGTCCTTAAAGCTATGACAATGAGGATTGGCTCCCAGAGTGCAACATCTATATTCTGTCCCATATATGGGCATGTCGTGATACAAAATTCGAATTCAAATAGCCGCCATTTTGTTCACTTCAACATTTGAATCGTGATTTTTGGTCTTACTTCCGAACGATAAATTCCAAAACTCACAAGAAATGATCGAGATATTGGTTCGAATCTTTTGAACTGTTTATTTTGAATTTATAGTTGGTTTTAATTTCAGAAAATAACGACATTTCGATGTTTTCATTGTTGGAAAATATAGAGTTTCGATCCTGGGAGCCAATCCTCCTTGAAGCCATGACATAAGTGTAAAATGGATCATAAAGACAAAATGGCGTGAACGAGTTAGCTCGACCTTTTCAAAAAATATTATTGTACTTTGTTAACACTATGAAAAATCTAAAAATGGTTTGTTTTATTATCCATAAATACCAACATGCAATTTGTAAGCAATCAAGTTTGTTTTTGCCAAAATGTGTGACATCACAAACAGAGTATCTTGGCATGAAGCAATTGAAATAAAAACATAACACGGAACATAACATTATGACACCAAAAGCTATTATCACACAAAACTAGTTTAAATGATTAGTTTTTATGTAGTTAAGAGGGGCATTATCTTTATCGTTTGTACCAGAGTTAGTTAATAATTTTTATGGGATTTCTAATATTTTTCAGCTAAGAAGTTACTTTTTACGATTCACATATTGTGGGTTTGAATGGTTTTGTTTGCGTTTAAAATAATCAATAAAGCCAGTGTAATATACATGATAAGTGTCAGAAGAACTATAATTTTGATCATTTCTTATAATAACGAAATAGTTAAATAAAAATAGTCAAATAGTTAAGCTTGTATTTAAGGAGGATAGGCTCCCAGAGTGCAACATCAATATTCTGTCTCATATATGGGCATGTCGTGATACAAAATTCGAATTCAAACATCCGCTATTTTGTTCACTTCAACGTTTGAATCGTGAATTTTGGTCTTATTTCCAAGCGATAAATTCCAAAACTGACAAGAAATGATCGAAATATTGGTTCGAATATTTTGAACGGTTTATTTTGAATTTATAGTTGGTTATAATTTCAGAAAATAACGGCATTTTGACGTTTTCATTGTTGGAAAATATCGAGTTTCGATCCTGGGAGCCAATTTTCCTTGGCCCCTCGCGGCCCCTCCATATTTAACAAAGTTTCAATCAAGATCAAGGCCAGTAGCTTTAATGAAATACCCGTTATCTCAGAATCTAAGCTACAAAATTCGCCTTGGTATCCAAAGTAGCAGACACAGTTTTGTAGTTAGTAAATAGTAGGCTTTTAATTTAGTTATTTACAAAACAATGAATAAATAAACGTTAATAAACTAAATAAGTAAGATGTAACCCTAACAAAAAGCCGAAAGGCGAAAGTACCTCAATTGTTATTGTCTGGTACAACGTTAATTACAAAACTTGCTATTACGTATCCTGGGATATTGTAATCTTTTCACAATTTCAACAAAACAATTCTTTATTTCCAGTAGATTTAATCCAATCTTAAACGCAAACTCTACGTCTATCACTAATAGTTGGATCCAGTGACATGGCTCATAAAACCCGAATACGTCTTTTTGATATAAACTACTCGAAACGAGCCCATCTTTAAAGATCCTTCCGGAGATAATAGCATCGAAAACCCTGTAAACATTTAGATAATTGGAAGCTACATAAATAGTAAATCAATTCATTTGATTTAGAATAATTGACCACGTTATTTACGCAGACATTCATTGTTTGAATAAAGATAAAAATTTATTTTCTCAGACATGCGTTCCCTTATTTTTCTTTGCCTCGTAACAATGATTTTGTCAAGATTGGCTACGTGAGAAAAGTTATCCATGTAACACTAAGCTAATATGGGACTCAGATAGCATTATGGAATTGATAGGTAGGAGTCATGTTTTATGGTAATGTCTAATCAGCTATATGCCATTATCTGCCAGCTCTGCAATTCAATAAAAAGGAAAAGACTTACTGATATAATTTATAGTTATGTGATATTTATCTTATTTATACCTGGTTATACGTATTATCAGAAATCCATTCTTTGCAATAAGAAAAGTTATGATTTAGGCAATAAAATATGTAAAACAATTTCTATTTCTTCACTCAGTATGGATGCCTACCAAATAAACACCCGTGAATCTTTATAATCCCAAATTCTACATTCGTTGAATAGAAATTGCCGTAAAATATTTATTGATTGTGGTTTGATTACGTCTGGATAACAGACTGACACCATTATCTGTTTTTTATTCAATATAATTTTACTTTTTATAATGTTAAATTATACCTCTAATACGAATACATTTGTTTTTTCTAACCTTCTCATCCGATGCGATGTATCGACAATGGTAGATAGAATGTTCATCTATTTTCTTCTTGAATTCTTAATATCGAGTTATACTTTGCATTCGTTCGACTTCGCTTCTTAAAAGAGAGCTTCGTCTTCATAACTAGACTCTGCGCGAATGGTAATCTATAGTACTATTACGTATACAGTCTCATACACTTTACACATAAAGGATAACATTTACAAGGTAACAACAATAGAAGGGACAACTATCCACAATCGTGATATTATTATGGATTTTGTTCATTTTCAGTTCTAATTACATTATCTTAAATAATAGTATGTAAAGACAAGTGCAAAAATAAAGCCATTTGAAGAAAAAATCCCCAATATCCGAAAAGTACGAGTCTAACGCACTTAGAGCTTAAAATGTCATTTTCTCCCCTATTCGGGTATTCAAGGTTCTCAAAGCATTCTCTCTTTTCAATAATGCGATGGGCCGATCATGTTTTCACAACATTACTTTATTTTATGGATTCTAAAAGCGATCTTTCTCTCATAGAAAAATAATTATGTTCGCAAAAGTTTCATGCACATCGTTTTAACTCAAAATTTCATGACGTGTTGGTGATTCTTGGTCCACCCTGTATTGAACGAGTCGCCTCGTGCCATTTCATCAATCAGTTAATAGTACATTGTGACATTTTGACATTGTCTTCTCCGAGCCCCATCTAGATCGAAAGATAATTGCAAAGGGCTTTGAGCAATAATTGAGACAAACGATGTGACTTAAAAGGATCATTAATAAATAAAATTTATAGCATCAATCAAATGATTTCGACTAGAGAAAGTGACAAAAAATCAGCACAGCAATGATACATTGCTCCATCGTTCCAATTTAGATGCACCGTTGTTAATAATTAGGGAATATTTGTCTTTGTAGTTTAGTAGGAAGGAAGGGTTCCCATGCACCCATAATATATACATTTTTAATTTTAATTACAATTTTTTATATCGACATGAAGTCTACTTAAAGAATTTTAATGTTAATATTTCTATCTCAAGTCCCATAGCTACCCAGGACGCACCCCTATTAGAGGCAATATTTCTTACAAATTCAATACCATTGACATTTTTATTTTTGCACATGACAAACATAGAATAAAATTATTAATCATTTTAAGAAATATTTATGCAAATAACTCTCATGAAATTTAAGCAAAAAGTATACATGTAGACCCAAGGGGACAAGATTGTGAGCTGTTTCATAGAATTTGGACAAAAGGACAAAATATTATTTAAGACATGTCACTCACACAGTCAATCAAATATGATAAAAACTTTAATTTGGGTCAATACTGAAGTGAAAAAAATTACTCGCATAGAAAACATCATTTGAAGTTCAGAGATAAAAATAAGTGAATTACCACTTTTCACTAAGTGTATGTTTTTAAATAACTCTTGGACTAAAAGATGGCGTATGGTTGAAAATCCTATCAAAAATGTAGGTATAGCAATGAAACATCCATTCAAGTCATGTTCTCTTGTAACCTTAGATCACAATATCTTAAAAATTTAGAGGATGCACTTACTCTTCTAAATTTTAATTACCCAGCATTTAAAAACCAGCAAGACAAATTATCATTGTTTTTGTATGGAGACAGAAGTCTGCCAAAAGAAGTTAATATTGAAATTTTAAGGCTCACCTCAGCTTTTATTCAAAGGTGTGCAAGCGTGTAAGTATTTCTTCCACCACCAACTGTATAATTTTGTACACAATAATTCTTTTGTTTATTGCAAATCCATTGTCATACTTTCTTTTTTAAATCTTGTTATTATTTAATTGTGGCTTATAATGCTTCATTGCAAAGCCGCAACATGTGTATGTAATAATTCTATTTTACTATGAAATAAATCAAATATATAAAAAAAAAATGAATGGACAATTAATGCAAACAACAATGCCATCTTTCTATGGCATTGCTAAAAACTTGACATCTATAAATTGATAGATCAAAAACATTTTTTCATGATCTAGTGTCAACTCCGATGTGGTCTGTTTGAGCTGTTTTTGGTGTCAAATGAAAAATCAGGTACTTATTAATCCATTGGAAATACTATGAAGATCAAAAGTGAGACTTCATTTACGCACTTTGTCCCTTTAATACAAGAAATCGATTAAGATTCACACATTTTACGTGATGTTTTGATATCCAATGAAAACCTCAGGTTGGCGGCAAACTTATGGAGGTGAGGGTACTTCGTTTTATAGTTTTCAATAAACATAAACAAAATGTTATGAAAAAGTTAATCTTGGTTGATCAGTTAATTTACGGCCATTAGATAGTGTAGTTGGATTGGCTATGAATCCGATGTTGCTTAGTCCTGTATAAAATACTATGATTAGAATAGACTAGAATTAATACTCATAGCCATTGCCTTTCAGTAGTCTCTTCGACTAATGCCTATACATACGTTCGATTTTTATCACTTTCAGAAATCAAATAAGCCTCCATACAAATTGTTGCTGATATCCCAACCTACGCAAATCTTTCTTTTTTGCTAATAAAAAACAAAGCGGAGTCATTCATTTCCATTTTTGATATGTTCTCCACTGTGA